CCCTGTGCAAATACTGCCCTTCTACTCTCCCACGATTGATGGCTCTAAGGGGTGTATCTACCTGGTGTAAATGTTCACCTTGTATGCCTGTCTATTGTTTGGCTGAGTTCAATTCCAGGCCTGAAGGGTAACAAGGAGGCATAGTCTCAGGAGTCTCACCAGGCTTTACCACACCCGTAAATCTAGTCTTTGTTATGATTTTGAGCCATGGTCCACATTATTCTCCACTCTATCCAGGATCTCCTGCACTGATCCCTTTCCACTGTAACATCAGAGCTCCTCGCTGAGTGCCAGGCACCCGTTTAATTCTCCAGGTCCTCCCAGAAGGCAGGAACTGCTCTTCTGACCATTTAATGGATGAGAAAAATGAAACTTGGTAAAACATGACAAAATGTATGGTGTCAGTATCAGTGTCCTAGGGCTTCTCTAACAAAGTACTACAAAGTGAGTGGATTTAAAGAACAAGAACTTATTGTCTGGAGGCTAGTAGTCTGAATACATGGTGTCAGCAGGGCCATGTTCTCTCCAAAGTCTTCCTCCTTGCCTTCCCCCCAGCTTCTGGTAGGCATTCCTTGGCTTGCAGCTGCAGCATAACTTTGTCTTCACATGGCTGTCTTCCCTCTGTCTGTCCCTTCTCTTCTTTTATAGGACACCACTCAGATTGCATTAGGACCTAGCCTACTCCAGTATGACCTCATGTTAATGGATAGCACCTCCAAAGAGCCTATTTCCAAATGAGATGTTCATAGGCACCAAGGGTTAGGACTTCAACATTAATTTCTGGGGCACACAATTTAATTCATAATAGCTAAGTCACATAGAAATAAAGTTGTTGAGGTAAGATTCAGGTCTAGGTCTGTCCTGTTCCAAGCCTGTATCTTTAACTCCTAGACTTCATACAGAAAACTAAACAACTAAAAACAGGAGCTCTGGTAGCGTAGTGCCTAAGGCATTTGGCTGCTAACCAGAAGGCTGGCAGTTCAAACCCACCAGCCACTCCTCGGAAGGAAGATTGGGCAGTCTACTTCCGTAGTGATAACTGCCTCAGAAACCCAAGGAGGGGTCGCTATGAGTTGGATCTGACTCAACGGCCGTGAGTTTGCCTTTATGCAGAAGACAGGTTAAATAAATGTGAGGTGGTGGGTCCTGGGAGTCCCTGGGTTGTGCCAACAGTTAATGCACATGGCTGCTAACGGAAAGGTTGGAAGTTCAAGTCTACCCAAAGGTGCCGTGGAAGTAAGGCCTGGAGATCTACTTCTGAAAAATTAGCCCCTGAAAATCCTGTGGGACACAGTTCTACTCTGACATACTTGGGTCACCAGAAGTCAGAATTGACTTGATGGCAATTGGCTTGACTAAGCCTGGAAGTGAAGCTGTGGGTCTGAACAGCACATATTCAGGGTGAAGGTCCCTGTGGCAGGCAGGGTAGGCAGCAGGGGATCATCCATGTTGGGACTCAGGTACTGGGGAAAAATTACCTACCTGAGGCTCAGAGATCACCTGACTGAGGGAAAGATTGCTGGCCCCAAGACACCCACCCAGGAGGGACCCTGTGTGTTGCTGTTCTTAGCAATAATGTGGCCATGAGGAGCAAGGCCAGGGCTCCCTGCCCTGATGTTGTCCATTCCTCAGGGCTCAGTTGGACTCAGCTTGTGGTGGCTGTGTGGAATGGGGAACAAACAGGAGCAGCAGGGGCCTGGTTCTCATCTTTTGTCAAGTCTCATCTTTCGCTGGTTCAAACCCAGCTCCTCTGCCTTCCGGCCAGTTATTGGTGCCTGTTAAGAAAAAATTCTTGGCTTGAGTGTTTCCATGAGGGAATTTGGGGTTCCCACAGCTTATGATTCTGTGTAGGAACTCACTTGGGAGCTCTGTCCCAAGAGCACCAGCACCTTGCTTGGGTGGGGAGCCTGCAGAGGGCCACAGGTGATTCTCCTGGAGTGTGAGTAATAGGGTTATTCATTATTTCTTTGTGGCAGCAGCTCATCTGGTTTTGGACTATGGTGGGTTGGTGTGTGCATGTGTGCTGTATAAACTCACATAGCTACACACTTACTTGCATATCCACACCTCACCTGCTAAGACACCTGCACAAATATGCATACTCTTTCTCACACTTTGCAAACGAGAATCCACATATAAGCAACATGAGCACTTATGTGTGCACACACATGTTCACACTCCAGCACACATTTATACAGGGCCATCCACAGGGTCCTGGCATTCTTTAGACAATGAAGTGGTGTTTTAGGTGCTTGTGCCTGTGGAATGACAGATGGTGGTGGTGCTGGTGGGGAATGAGGGGTGAGTGGGGGATAGTGAGCCCACTAGTTGCTGAGGTCCAGTTCTGGGACCCCAGATCCTTTCTCAGGGAACTTTGGGCATGTTCTGAGCTCTAGACTTCTCAGGGAGCCTCTGCTGCAGTTTTGTTAGCCCAATAGATTCTTTCCTTCTACCCTTCTACCCAGGACAAGGGAGAGAGGGCAGAGTGCCTTCTCCTCAGTATGCTTAGGGCAGCTCTACATCCCATCCTTGTTCTCTTCCTCATGTTAGCTCCCTCCCTGCTTCCTAGGCCCTGGGTCAGGGAGACTAGTCCCAAAAGCTTCTTATTGTTGGGCTGACCCCAGCCCCAGTGTGGCAGGCAGCCAGGGAGGCAGGACTTGCTGCTCTGAGCAGGAACTTGGCAGACCCTCTGGGGGCTGGGGAGTAGACTGTGAGGCTGAGGGCTGTGGTTTGGATGCAGTCTATGGTTTTTTTCCCCTGAGCTCTCAGCCTCCACTTCTGGGGCCTCCTAGCTGAATCCTAAGACTGCATGTTGGTGCCAGGAGGGTCCTGATTGTTGGCTCTTCTGAGGACAACTCTGCCATGGGCTTTTCTGCTTTGTTCAATAACAGCACATAGTGTGCACACAGTGAATACAAATGAATGAATAAAGATGTGCCAGGTACTGTGCTGGGACCAAAGGACAGGTCAGACCTGGCTCTTGTTCTCCAGGAGCTGCGTCTAGATAGGCAGACAGCCAAGGATCTGCTGGTGTGTGGAGGGAGGTGAGGGGACCAGATGCAGTGTGTGTGTGTGTGTGTGTGTATGTGTTTGTGTGTGTATGTGCATGCTTGTGTGCCCTAACCTGGTGACAGTCATCAAGGGGGCACTGTCCTGGAATGCAGCCTCCTCAGGATGGCAAGGGCATCAGTTCAAGAGTCTGACAGATGTGGGATGGTGGGATATGGGGTTGTGGTCAGAGAAGGAAGGGAACTGTGCCCAAGGAAAGAGCCCCTACAATGTGCCATACACTGCACCTGGGCATCACATGTCCCAGCTCACTGGCTCCGCAAACACTTCTTTGAAGGAGGATGGGTTATTTTATGGCTGAGGAAGCTGGGGATCAGAGAGGTTGTGTCACTTTTGAGCCTCCCTCTGCTGGTCTCTGCAGATGGGGTCTGCTTCTCAAGGCCGCTCCTGGAGTTACTCTCCTGCTCTCCTCACACAGACTGGAGGGGGCAGCAAGAGGCCTGGAGCAGAGGGCAGCTTCCTTGGGTCTCAGTTTCTTCATCCATAAAATAGGGATAATAAAAGTACTTGCCTCATAAAATAACCCAGGTGAAGCCTTTAAAGCAGCCCTAGGGACATGGTCAGAGCACCACAGGAGAGCCAGTCTTCTTGTCGCCTTTATTAGGAGAGGTCACAGGAACAGCATAGCTTCTCTCCCAGCCCAGTGTCCTCTGGCTGACTTGGGACAGAGGCAGGACAGGTGCTGCCTTCATCTTGGATCTTCCTGAGCCCAGAATCCCGCTCCAGTCCTGGCGTCCGGGACTTGGGAGGGGGTGAGGTAGGTGTGATAGGTGAGGAAGAAGGATTTCCACAGTGTGGAGTGTAAATAGGGAGGAAGTAGCTCACCAAACACAACAAAGTCCGTCTCCCTGAGAGGAAGCAGCAGTGAAAGTGAACACACATGGGTGCCTGCGGTGCGTGTGACCCGAGGGCGGTGGGGCACGGGAGCTTCGAGGTGGGTGCCAACTTGGTGCTGTGAGGGAGGCGGGGCCAGACCCTTGGGGGGGGGGGACGGGGATCTTGGTTGTCACCTCCAGGACCTGTGGGACTTCATCCCCTCTTGGAGTTCTGTTGTTCCCCTTTCGCCTTAGGGGTCTGAGAGGGTGCGTTTCCTGCGTGTCCGGGAAAATCCTGAGTCTAGGCTTGGGAGAACCCCACGGTTGCTCCGACAGTCTGCTCTTTAAGGACTCGCTCTTTGACAGCTGGGGCGGCTCGGGCCCAGAAAGGGCAATCGCCTCGCTCAGGTCGCACAGCCAGTGAGGTGGATTTCGGAGCCTGGATTCTCTTCTCTGTCCCGCGGAAGGTCGGACTGGGTTTCAGTACCGAGGGCCAGGGTAGGCCAGGCCTGCCGACCTCTGCGGGAAGACGGACGAGCCCCGGGGAGCTGGAGCCTTGGAGGGGGTGTGGCGCCAGGAGCCTTTGCTTGTTTCTCTGGCAAGGGAGGCTGAATGGAGGTTTTGGGCATCTTTAAGATAGAGCCGAGTTAATGCCAAGAGAAGAGGAACTGGCTTGCTGGGCAGTCTAGCCCAGCCCCAAACTTTTCCTCTGTGCGAGGGCGGAGGGGCCCGGGGGGCGGGCGGAGGCACAGGCTGCGGGGGAAGCGGGGCCTGCTGTTCCCTCCCTGCTGGGTAGCCGCGGCTGTGCGCTGGCAATCCGGCCGGGGCTTGGGTGAGTGTGTCTTTAATTCAAGACCCCCGCCCCTCGGTAGCGGGGACTGGGGCTAAGCGGGCCCGGCGGCGGCGGGAGCGGTGATTGGCGGCCGGCCGGCCGGGCCCGCCCTTCGGCGTGGGGGACGCGGGGGAGCAGCGCGGTGCGCACTGGCCGGTGCGCGCTGCTTCCACCGCCGGGCGAGCGCGGGCTCCTGGTCTCTTGGCCTTTGCTCCGGTGGCCTCGCCTCCTCCCGCGCGGTCTGCCCGCCTCTAGAGCCGTCCCTGCCCACGGATGGGCTGGGGAAGTTGGGAGGAACGAACCAGAGCCCCTGCCGGGCGCGCCCCGCCGCTGCTTGACTCGGCGCCCGCAATTTGGGCTCAGCGTGCCGGCCTCTGGAGCGCGGATGCCCCCGGGAGCTGAGGGCAGGCAGGTACCGACGTCTGGGCCCCGGGCTGGCGAGGGTAGGGTAGATCCAAGAGCTCCTTCGGGCACCCCGACCGGGCTGCCCGGACCACCCACTCCCCTCCCCCGCCCCCAAGCGAACATCTTCCTGGATTTGCTGGAGGGGGAGTGGTTCTGGTGACCCCATTCTTCCTCACCAAGCCAAACCCGCACAGAGTAGGTGCCTGGGAGGGAAGCGGGGCCTCAGTGTTAAAAGGCAAACATTTATTGAGTTGTTTTGTGTACGGAGCTCAGGGCTCCTTCACTCCTTGAGATGTCCCTCGGACTAGGGTAGACCTGGGCTGGTGAGAGCCCCACTCTTCATAGCTAGGCCTGAGCGCTTGGCCCCGGCCTGGCTTTCTGAGAAATTCCATGATCCAGAGATGAGATCCCTGGCTGCACTTTAGGGCTTGAGGCCAATGGAAGGGGTAGAGTCCAGAGGTTTCAGTGAGGGCAGGCTTTGATTCTGGACCCTATCTAGCCCCCACTTCTACTGATACGAGTCTCCCAAGAGAGAGACCCTTTCCAATTTCAGAGGGGGCAGTGACCTGTCAGGAAGCAGAGTGTGGTGTGAGAGAGTCTGCATGCACAAATCTCTTTATAGTCGCCAGGATGGTTGGAACAGGTTTGTCTCTTGGGGATTCAGCAATGGAGAAAAAGCTTCCTGGCCTCAGGAAGCTTCTGGAGTTAAGGACACTTCCAACCAGAGGTGCAGGTGTCAGTTTCTTGCAGAGTATCAGGACCCAGTTACCTCATACCTCTTAAATTCCAGGCACTGGGCTCTGCGTGGGGATGGTGTGGGTGGTGGAGGTCTGGAGGTGTTGTGCCTCTCCTCACTTGACTTAGCTCTGTGGGAAGACAAGACAAACACAGAAAGTTCGCTGAGGCTTGGTGTCAGTCCTGGGCAATAATAATGGAAATGACAAGTGGTTACACATGATTAATTGCTAAATGAGTGATGTTGGCTGTGATTAGTTGCAGGAGAAGCTGGCATCCAGCTCTTATGATACCATGCAGATGTGTTTCAAGTGTTCCAACTCAGTAGCCACCCAAGGCCAGGGAGTAATGAGAGGTCTGGGGAGATGCTTTTGTGTGTGTGTGTGTGTGTGTGTGTGTCCTTGTCCATCCGTGTGTCCGTCAGTCCATCCCCTGGTTGTATTTTTCTGCTGGGGGGGGATCAAGCTGAACATGGTACTCTCCCAGCTGTCTTGAGGCTCCTGAGCTTTGAGGTCTAGAGTCACCCTTATAGAAGGTTCAGAGGCAAGTGGGAGGAAGTCCTCACTTCCTTTCTGAAGAGCCTCTGTTGCTGGGGGTTGGGGGTGAGGTTGGGAAGCTGGGAGGCATCGGGCCAGACACTGTTTCCTGTGATTGCAGACAAGCCCCAGGTGGAGGTTCTGCTGTGTCTGGGGCTCTGTGCCTCTTTGTAGGAGTGCCCCCCCCCCCCATGCCTGCATGTTTCTGCTTTTCTGGAACACTCTGCGAAGGTGGCAGTGTGCTCGTGCCTTCGGCCTTGGGCACTGCTCTGCTCTGGGAGTGGCAGTTGTTGAGCTCGCTGCAGTCCTTGGCCGGCACTGTGAGAACTTGGGTGAACACACCCACCCGTCTCTAAATAGGTGGCACACATTGACCCAGTTCACCCAGGCACAAGTCGGGGGACAACTATTGGCTGGCACTGTGAGGACTTGGGTGAAGACACCCACCCGCCTCCAAGCAGGTGGCACACATTTGATGCAGGCATGGGGGTTGATGCTTATGTGGGTAGAGATTTGTGTGCACGTTTGGGTTTACAGATGTGTGGGCAGAGACGCGGAGGAACTGGATACAGAAAAGCCTGTGGACAGACACAGGAAGGCAGTAGTATAGGTGGGTAGGAACCCAGGGATACAGATGTGCATGTGGCCAGATGCATAGACACAGACATGTGTAGGGGAAGACATATATGAACATGTCCACATGGACCACACTGGGACACAGATACATATACCTGCCACAGTCACCTGACAGCAGTGACCAAGGACGCAGACAGAGGTATAGACTGAGATAGCATTTGGGGCTCCATTGCTCAGTTATCCCTGTTACTCTCTGTGGTAGCACAGTGACCAGAAGCTGTTGTGTTGAGTGTGGTGGTGGTACACATGGTGTGGTCTTGTGTCTAGAGTCCCACTTTGAAGATGGGGGCTCAGTGTCCTCTGTTTTACTCTAAGAGCCACTTGGCCTCCCATTCCCTAAGTTCCAAACTGAAAACCCCTTCTGTTGAGTCAAGTCTGACTCATGGCGACCTCCAGTGTTTCAGAGTAGAACTGCTCGTCATAGGGTTTTCCATGACTGTAATCTGCTTGATGGCAACCTTTTTTTTTTTTTAAATTCCCCAAATCTTACAGAAGTACTTCTCCAGGCCTGTCTTCTGTGGCACCACTGGGTTCAAACTGCCAATCTTTTGTTTAATAGATGAGTACTAATTTGTGCTACCCAGTTCCAGGCATGGGTTTATGCCATAAGTACCAAGAGGGGCCTCCTTGAACTTTCGATTCTCATTTTCCCTGGGTCTCCAGAAGGTTTCTGAAGTGAGGTGGTATGAGTAGGGTAGCATGTTCCAACTGATTTTTGCTTCCCTGGATAGGGATGAACTTGGTGGTGGGACTTCCCTTTTGAACCCAAGCTTGAGGGTCTTTGAGAGGTATGGGAGCTTCGGGGTAGGGGGAGAGTAGAAATGCAGTTCGGTCTTTGATGGGAGCTGTTGTCCTCTGGTATGGACTCCCCCTAAACCCTGGGTTGGAAAGGGAAGGAGTCTCCTACCACCCTGGCCATAGGAGCCAGCCCAGATGCTAGATATAGCTTGGCCTCTAACTCACCATGTGACTTTGGGCAAAGTGCTTATTTTCTTAGTTTCTTCCTCTTTAAAATGAGGGGCAGAAACTCCCACCCTTGGGACGTGGTGAGTATTTAGCGTGAGGTAATCAGTGGAAAGCATGTGGCCCTGTGCCTGGGTAGTGAGCACTTAGCCTGTGGGTCTTTGATTATGGGCCTTTCCTCTGTGGCAGGGTTTCCAGAGCTGCTTCAGCAGCCAGGTGCATGGCTCTGTGCCTGGGGCCTGGGAACAGGCTCTTGTCTGCCTTGAAGGCTGGCCAAGCTGGCCAATGGCAGAGCCTGGGGGAGGCTAGACAGGCCAGGGTACCTCTCTCATGAAAGCTGAATGTTTTGTCCCCATCCCTGCCCACCTTCCTCTCCTCAGCCCTGTGGGACCTCTATATGCAAGGTCAGGAAATAGTAGGCAGGGTGTATGGGAGCTCAGGCCTGCGCCTGCCAGGCCTCTGGGAGGGGAGCCAGTGGTTTGCTAAGAATAGCCCCAAATCATGGTTCTCTCCTCCCAGTGGGCAGCTCTGTGCCTCCCCGATTTGGGCTAAGGCACTTGTAGATGGGCCTCTCATGTTTCCTGTAACTGGCACTGGGCATAGGGATGGGCCTGGGAGCAGCTAGGCTGGCCTTGAAGTAGGGCCACAGCTGGATGGATGTGGGAAGATGTCCTGTTTCCCCTAGGCCTTTAGCTGGGACCTGAAGACAGACAAGACCATCAAAATCTCTTGAATCCCTCTTCCATGAAGGATTTAGGGTTTGAAGATGGGGGGTTCAGTATCCTGTTATACTTGGAGGTCATTTGGCCTGACAACTCCTCTTCTCACCATCTTCCCTAATGGAACTGTTGTGAAAGGAACCATCTGCCAGGGTCTAAATTCCGCTTCTTTCCTCACCAGCTGTGTTCCCCTGGGTGTCTCATTTAACCTCTCTGTGCTTCATTCCCTTGTATAACAAGAGTTAATAATAGTTTAAAAAAAAAAAAAAAAAATTCCGTCAAGTTGATTCCGACTCATAGAGCTCCTGTAGGACAGAGTAGAACTACTCCATGGGGTTATCAAGGCTGTAATCTTTCCAGAAGCAGACTGCCACATCTTTCTGCCACGTCTTTGGAGTGGCTGGTGGATTCAAACTGCGGACCTTTCATTTAGCATTTAGCAGCTGAGCATTTTACCACTGTGCTACCACTCCCTTATGAGTGTTGCTAGAATGAAAGAAGATAGCATATGAAGGGCAGTCTGGCTCAGAGTAAGTTCAGGGTAAACGTGAGCTTTTTTCCTATTAGGTGATTAATATTCTCTCTGTGGAGGAAGAAGCCTAGGAGGTCGGGATGCTTGCACAGTGCCACATGGTGAGCAGGCACCAGACAGTGAGTGTCTCCATCCAAGTTCCTGGCCTTTCCTGACCCCAGGGTTCAGCATAAGGAGCTCTAGTGGTGCAGTGGATAAGGGATTTGGCTGTTAACCAGAAGCTCAGCAGTTCAAACCCACCAGCTTCTCCATGGAAGGAAGATGGGGCGATCTATTTCCATAAAGATTTACAGCCTTGGAAACCCAGTGGGGGTCACTGTGAATTGGAATTGACTCAGTGGTAATGAGAGTGAGGGTTCAGCACGAGATGCAGAGAGTCCACAGATGAGTTAGACATGCCCATGCCCCTGCCGGAAGGTGAGAGAGGCACTTACATTGTACCGTGATCCACTGGTGCCTTAGTGGGTTGGAGCTGGAGGGAGCTAACAGCTGATCTAGGGGCATAGTTGGGTGGCAGGGAGTGACGCTACATATGGGCTTTGAGCGATGGCCAAGAGTTTGCAAGGAGGAGGGAAGACTTCTCAAGCAAGAAGAGCAGTCCATGCTGAGGGTTGGAGGTGTGACAGTTTGGTGTTTAGGGTCTGGGGAGGGAACTGTAATCAGCACATCAGGCCAATCAGGAAAGACTTTGCATACTGGGACCTTCTATCCGTCCCACCCTGGTAGGACACAGAAGCTGGAGGCCCACTGGAATTCTAGACCTCTCACTTTCCCTCTTCAGAATCATGTTTGCACCCCCTCATTTTCCAGTGAACCCCTCTGCTCTCTTGTCAGTGTCTTCCAGCCCTGCCTGAGACCTTCCTTGAGCTTGGAGCTTCAGACTACA